ACAGCTGGTGGCTACCATCCTGGACTGCAGAGACCTGTGAGCACAGTGGAAGAGGGGGTGTCTAGCAATGCTGGCCACCAGGACTCATGACAAGCAAGCCTTCTCGGGAAAGTGTGTTCACGGGAGCCAGCAGGAGGGCTTTACCCCTGAGAAGTAGAGCCACCATCTTGCCTCTAAGAAACTTAGAGATGGGAATTAGAGTGTCCACTTAATTAAAATGACAACAACAACCAAAGCCAGTGATGTTTATGTCCTATGTTCTGCTACCTGGAGCAACTCTGGTTTAAAGCCACCAGGCAGTTTTTTTTTTTCAACTCTGCAAGTTCAGAACAGATGCCGGTGCCATAGTAACAATCAACCTATGAGGACTTCACAGTGAAGACGGGGAGACAACTGCAAGTCTAGCAAAACAGCAATACAGGACCAACTCATGACAGGGCATCAGGATCATTTGCCTACACGGACAGACTTCTGTCCTTGCGGACACGGCAGGGAGCTCTGAGTTACAAATGGTCTCATTCGGTCCCACAAATGCTGCGTGCTAGACACTGTCATGGAGACCTTCCTCACGCCTATTGCGTCCGGGTTTCACTTTCAAGCCCCTGACTGTGAGTTAAACACAAACCAGACTTTGTTTTTAGAGGATGAAACTCTGGATATGGGATCCGACGAAGGATGCTTGCGGCTGAATTTCCATGCTGAGTCATTTCTCATCACTGGTGCAATACTTACAAATACATTCAGGAAAACAAGTCGAGAGAGGAAGGAGCTACTTTGCATTGTGGTCTCTGGGTCTTCAGTTCACAGTTACGTTGCTGCCTCTGGGCAGGCTCATGGTGAGGAACACGTGTAGCTGCCCATCTCACAATGGACAGGAGTCAGAGTGTAGGCGGTCACACAGTGATCTATCTACTTCCTCAGGTGGGCCCATGTCCTAATTAATGATGCCACTATGTTATGAATTGATCCATGGATTAATCCATTAATCCAAGCCTCGTCACCCAACCACTTCTCAAAGCCTCATTTCTGACCACGTAGGGACCAAGTTTTGAACACAAGCATTTGGTGGCGGGGGAGGGGGGGAGGTTCATATGCAAATGACAACACTTCCCAACTTCTGCAAATAAAAGTCTGAAGTCATATTGAATTACACATACAGTAAGCTTCATTTAAAAGAGTAAGGACCAGAGCTGGAGAGACGGCTCAGCGCTTAAGAGTACTTGCTCTTAGGATGACCTAGGTTTGATTCCCAGCGTACACACATTGGCTCACAACTGCCCATGATTCCAGTGCCAAGAAAGCTGGTGTCAGAGGGCTCTTAGGCATGCATGCAGGCAAAACACTCAAAGGCTTAAAAATAAAGATTAAAGAAATGTTTTTAAAGTAAGGCTGATCTAGATCAGGACTCTCTCATGGTATCTCTTGGCTGAAAATTCTGTGGAATGTCAAAGCTGAGGAATAGCTGTTAAAAGGTACCTTCCTAAGCCCAGGTCTGGCAGCCATTTACAGCCAGCAGCCAATGGTCTGGGGTTGGAAGTCTCCAGAAGCTAGCAGACCATGGGACCCCCTGGACAGGTCACCAGGTCTGTCTGCTTCCTCCCTGTCTGCTCCTCATTCCTCGGTGACTAAAGGGAAGAGACCGTTTCAGAAGTGAGAGCCACTGGTCCCCATTGGCTCTTAAATGAGCTCTTTGACAGGACCTAGGAACCCAACTTGGGTATTTTGTAGCAGGCTTTCTTAGACCACTAGTCCCCCAAATCATGACATGGAGACGTATTATTAGCCGTGAATGCTCAGTCTTAGCTTAGGCTTGTTTCTAGCTAGTTAAAAAAAAAACTTAAATGAACCCATGTCTAGTCATCTGTGTGCCGTCCTGAGGCTCATTTACCTCATCTACCCACTGTCCACCCTGCTTTTCTGTTCCTCTGTGGCTGGCTGGCCCCCGGCTGGCTGCCTGACAGCCCTGCCTATCCCTCCTCTGCCTAGCTATTGACTGACTGCTCAGCTTTTTATTAGACCAACCAAGCACCTTTGGCAGAAAAGAAAGTGAAATGGCAGCACGCCTTTACATAGTTAAATAAATGCAGCATGAACAATCGTAACCACACCTTTACACAGTTAAACAATTATTCTGCAGCATAAAAAATGCAGCATACACAAATGCAACACATCTTTACATTGTCAAACAAATATTCAGTTCCGAAACAGTGTCCCCCCTCCCCCAACAAGGAAACTATTCGCCCCATGGGAGTTTTAACTTTACTATACTTTAGAAAGCTGTCAGTCTGTGATTTTGAGGGCGAGTCAGATTCTCTTAGCTGCCCATTGCCTTTATCCTTGTAAGAATCCCGAGGTTTTGAGGTCTGTGTTTCTGCACAGGTACTTCACAACAAGAGCGCAGGTTTATCTCATCGTGAACACAATGAAGTCAGAGGATGAGTCTGAAGAGGCTCCTCCGGTGAACATTACAATCTGAAATCTGGGTTTATGGAGGAAAACAGCAGTCTTCCATTGTCCCCAGCATGGGATGATAGTATTTGATTTTAAGTTGCACAAAGTGGAAAAGACTAGACTCACCCTGTTAAAACAGCTTAGCCGTTCATGCTGCAAACTCAGAAGAGCTTCCTCCCAACAGCTACCGCCCGCGCCTTAATGAGAGAATTGGTCTGGTAGCGCCAGTTAACTCACTGGAGGTCGACAACGTGTTAAAATTTACTGTAAACCAAATTTGTGTGTGCCGGTGTAATCATATTACTGTTTAAAATATGTAATTTGGGAAATTAAATTTAAATTATTTACAGAACTCCTGAAGTGCTTCTGCCGAGCCCTGGGGTTTCTCTAGTAGAACATAATTAGAAAATCTCTGACCTGCTCAGCCATGTTCAAGCTGATCTGTACCCCACTTTCTCCTTCAACTTTACTCCCTGATGCTCCCACAATATAAGTTTTTGGCTTCAGGTGCCTTGGCTCCTCATAGCCCCCGGGTCAAGCTCATGTTACAGTGTTTTCAGGTTTTAGTTTATGCTGACAACTGTCTTGGGTACCTGCCTCTTTCCTCACTCAAGACTGGCCATATTTCAGGCACAGGTTGTCATCCATCTATCTGTTCATTCAGGTTTCCACCTGTCAAGCTTGCCGGGTATTTGTTGGAAACTGTGACGTACAGAGTTGCTAGAAAGACAGGCAGGTTGTATGTAGACTTGGCCTGCGGAGCTTCCAGAGCAGCTCAGGGGAGGCTCAGGCATGAGTGAGATGTTAGAGCTCAGAGAGGCTGACGGCAGGAAGGAGGAGGATACACGGATATCACTGATGCGGAAAACAGCTGTCTTCCGTTGTCCCCGAAAGGTCCGGGCTGTGAACTCCAGGTTGCCCCCAACGTTTTACCTTGCTGCTCGTGGATTCGTTCAAAGCCTTCAGTTCTGTCCCTCCTCTACGTCTATCCCAGCTTATCTGGTGCAGGTCTTCAAATACCTTTGCATACTCATCAGTCACAGGCACAAAGAAATGCCTGCCGCCTGATGTTAGCGACCAATGGGGAGAGGCGAGAAGACTCATGCGGGTGGCGACAGAGGAGCATTGTAAAGTCTAAGTTGTCGGTGAGTGCCCAGCAGGTTCTGAAGTACAGTACAGCTCACATTGGTCCTCCTAGCATGGAATCCCACAAGGACAGCTGATTGTGCCTTTATCCTTGACTCCAGTGATGATATCACCTGATTCTTGTAACATGTAGTTTTCCTCCGCCAGCCCCTTTGGTTTTTCCCCCCCTCCGCCAGTCGCCTGGGCTCTGCCACAGTTGCAGTCCCCAAATAACACACAGGAGGCTATATTAATTATGAAGCTGTTGGCCTTGCTTGTTTCTTACTGGCTAACCCATAATTGTTAATCTAAGTATTTCTCTTACAGGAGAAAAGGGTCCAGATATCTTACTTCTCTGGTGGGCTACATTGTCTCTGCATGTCTCTCTTTCCCAGAATCCTCCTCAACTCCTAGTCCCACCTATCTTGCTTCCCTATTGGCCAACAGTGCTTTATTGACATATACACAGGACTTCCCCATCAGATTCCTGTAATGATTCCTTCTCTTACATGCCCTTAAGCTTCGAAGCTATTTGTATTTCCTGAATAGATGTAACAGGTCGGTCCCTAGACAGTTGGGCTGGTATAGGACGCACAAAAGTCATAATCTGTGGGGTTGTCCAATTGTTGTGATGTAAACACTCCCAACGTGGTTAACCCCACACTACCAACATGGCTTCGCTGGCTAGGAAGCTGAGAAACAGCTCCACACAAGAGGCCTGTGTGTGTTAGCCAAAAAACACTGGGAGTGTGAGCCTCCCATTTGATGGCTCTCACTCAAGGAGGGCTTCTGTAATCAAATAGGACATTCTGCCTTTGATTAATTTCGATTGTGCTGTCAAAAATAGAATGTACAAGAGCTCATTCTCAGCACAAGACAGGGAGACAGCCTAATGCCTCGCCTCCTTCTAAGAGCTTGTTTTGATGAGTAAATAATGACTAATGAGCTTTCAGAGGAGACAGATCAAAACCTAGAACAAGATACTATTTTCAGGGCTCGGCTTCTCCCTGCCTCCTTTTGCTTGTACTCCAGAAACAAAGCTTATTTTCAGAAACTCTGTCCCTCCTGGAAGTGAGGTCTCAAGATCAGCTTATGGTGTAGTAAAACTTCAGATATCCTCATCCCCAGCCTCCCTCCCAGGTTGCAGTCCAATAAACCCGTACCCCAAGCATGAGCCCTGAAGTTCAAGACATTTCTACTCAACTGAGGGACTCTTTTGGGTGAGACGTGAGAGTGTCAGGCAATTTTCTGGGTGCTGGAGAAATCATGACGGGCCAGGTACAGAACGAGGAATTAACGAGAAGGTATGCAAACACTGCTTCCTTCCTCTGGCCACGCCCACCCTTCATCCGTCCTCAGCCCACCTGTTTTGTTTTGTTTTTTTATTTCAGGATCCTTCCTGCTCACACGACAGCTGGGTCAGCCTACCCAGGAGCAGAGATCTGGGCTTGACGTGTGTGGCCTGTGGAGCTGAGGCCCCACATAGGAGCCAAGGATGCACTCAGCCCATCTGCCCCTCCGTTCTCAGGCTGACCAGGAAGTTCCAGCTCAGATACCCGCAGTTTACCGAGGTACATATTTCTGTGACAAATGTCCACCTATCAGGGAGGAGAGTCCTCCTGGGAAGACCCTGCCGAGGTCAGTGCGGAGGTTATACTTGCTTCCTCTTTCCCCTTCTCAAGGTCACTGGATCCCCCCCTCAAGGTCAGCGGGAGTAACCTAATGGCTGGAGTGAATTAAAGGGGAAGGAAAGGGCTCATGGCTGTACCTGAGCGTCAGGTCTGTGACAGCAGCTGTTGATGAGCCAACCACCAAGAGTAATTCGCAAAACTGACTTCTGGGAGATGAATTCTGAGTTCCAACTTCTCCTTTGATTAGCTGAGCCAAGCCTGCTGCAACTTTGAAATGCAGACAGCAGGCATAATTGTTCTGCATTCACACGTGCTCCTTAAAAAGCCTGGTGGGTTTGCTTTCCCATCCATGAAAGAAGAAATGATCTCCTGAAATGTGTGCATTTAAAGCCCATCTGTTGGCGTCCTCCCTGGCAGGCATCATGGAGGATGCACTCCCAATTTGTCTCTGCCTCCTCCGATGCAAGGACCCAAATTCATGAATGGGATTCTTCCCACATATCCCGTAATTAATCTCTGTCTCATTGGGAGTAAAGCACAGTTGGCAACAATGCAGCCCCTGTATCTCTAAGCAGCAGGCTCCGGCACCTATCGGGGACATGTACTGAGTTCCTTCCCTGTCATCAACTTTCCCTTGGGTGCCTAAAGCCAGATGAGTAGGTGGGTGAGCAGACTTCAGGGGGGCCACTTGCTGTGGCCTGGAGGGGGACACGGTGCATCAGGCCGGACTGTGCCCTCCCCCCAGGAAACACTTTTCCTCCTCCATGCTTGTTTGTATGTGAGTGGAGAGGGATTGGGGGAGAGCCTTCGTTCACAGCCGGGCCACCACGGCTCCCTCTGTGTAATGGCCTCTCTGTTTTCCTCTCCAGGTTGACAATTAACGTGGCTGCCATACTGGATTTTAGGAAGTGCCATTTTCCTTAAGTGGTCTCCATCTGTGGACTTTCCTGCGCCCTGGCACCCTCGGTGGGAGGCGGGGATAGCGCAGAGCTTGGCCATTAACTTGTTTGTTGGTAATTTCCACTCTCGTCTTTTCTGTACGAGATTCCATCTGTGATGGGAAGCGCAGGCTCCCGCCGTTCTGTTCCTGAACATAGTCCCCGCTAGCTTGGACATTTGGTACCCGAGGCTACGGGTGTCACCCACTTTTTGAAAATGCACCGAAGACTGTCCCTTGGCCTCTGGAATTTAGTAGAAGCAGAACAGATGGGGGATAGATGGGAGGAAGAGAGGAGAAAGGGGCTTTTTAGGATATGGGTGTTCCTGACTTGAGTCTTAGACATGGAAATTACTTTTTGGGTGAAAGTTGAAATAGTCTTTGGACAAAGTGTCCCCCTTCATATCACCTGGAGTTTCACCTTACCCGATGTAAGAAATACCACTCTCCCCCTGCTCCTCAAGTATTAGCTGAGCTCCCTGTGTTCATGTCCACTGAGATCGTGTGTGTTCAGAGGTGCAGCCTTGGGAAGGTCATTCAGTGTGACGGCTCAGTCCTCACGACTGGAATTCAGGTGCAGCTGGAAGGTGCCATCTTTGAGGCAGAAGGAGCCAACTAGATACGGAATCTGTTGGCACCTCAGACTTGGGCTCCACAGTCTCCAAAATGGTGAGCGATACTTTTTCATTCATCAGCTACCCAAACGCGGCATTAGTTATGCGTTTTCATTGCTGTGACAAGACACCTGACTCAAAAACAACTTAATAGAGGAAGAATTGTACTCGGGTGACACCATCACCACTACTCAGGGCGAGTCTTCTTCCTTGGAGCTCTCTGGATACCCAGACGCCTCATCTTCCTGGTGACTCTGCATCCAGTCAAGCTGGCAAGAGAGTGATCTTCACACCCAATCTGGGGCTTTTTATTGAAGCACCCCAGTTATGAGACACAGCTCAGACTGCACAAAGAAGTGTCCTGGGTTTCACCTACAGTGAAGTCCGCGTCTCCTCCTTGATGACTCATCACCCACTTCAGCTCATACATGCTCCAGATAGACTGATGGATGACGAGACGTCTATGTCCTTCCTCCTTACGACCAATTCAAAAGTCACGCTATGCCATCGCCCCTCGATGTTGACTAGTCCGAGACCAGAGACCAGGCTCTAAGCTCACCCGGTACAGCTCCTGAAAGCACGGATCTCACCTCACTTCTCTCTGTTCGGAAATGCGGAAGGCCATGCGCTGCCATTTGAAACAGCTGCCAAACTTTGGCCAAACGTTTATGAATCTGTGAGACCCAGTGCTGTTAATTTCCCAGTATTGCTATTTTATTCTCCCACAGCCCTTGACAGAGCCTGGGCTGGGCTGGAGTTCTTAACCCCCCCCCCCACCCAATATTTGTGTCTACCCAGAACTTGAGAATGTGACTTCACTGGAGAATTGGTTGTTTGTGAATGTAATTGACTAAATTAAGATGAGGTCATGCAGAATTAATCAGCCTGATCTAATGACTGATGTGGGGAGGAACATGGCTACACACTGAGCAAAATGGCGATGTGGAAAACGGGAGCAGAAATCAGTTAACAACCCGTAAGCCACGGAGCTCCAAGCGTTGTTAGAGACCACCAGACGAAGTCACCTCCCCCAGCAGTCAGGAAGTCAGTAGTTCTGCCAAGCGCACAGGTTCAGCTGTTGAGGCCCCTAGAGCCATTAGCCTGGTGTTGTAGACCAAAAAAAAAAAAAATCTCTGTTGTTTTAAGAAGGTGAATGCCTGCTAATTCGTCACACAGCCCCCAGGAAACCAACTGTCACCTACTGTGCACTGCCTGTGTCACCATCCACGACCCTGAGAAGCCTGTCCCTTCTTGTCCCTGGCATCAACATGGCTCTCACAATTCAGTTAGCGCAAACAGTCCTGCGTGCCTAGAGTGCGTCCTCAGCCCGTTTCTTTTGTGTGCTTTTTGAGTGGTATTTACAGATCGCTTCCCTCGCGAGGTGCTTGACCTGTTTGTAGAGATCACTTATTGTGATTGGCATGCCCACGTCCAGTGGAGGGCTCTCCAGTGTAAGGGGACAGTGCCACATGTGGTAGCACACACCTGTAATCCCAGCACTCAGCAGGCTGGGGTGGGGGTGGGGGCTGCAAGTTGGCCTCACATACCCTGTCTCAAATCACAAAAGAGGATTAGGAAGAATGGATGAAATCTCCCCTGTTATAGAAATAAGTATCAGGCTTGCTTTATTGGAGAAAACAGGGCTCGGAGAAAGAGGACAGACTAGAAAGGGCGGTGCCCGACTAATTATCTTTTTCAGGTGAACTTTAACTTAATTTTTCGAACCCATAAAAAAATATACCTGTGGATTGATTCCCAGTTTTCTGAGAAATCACCATGCTTATTTCCAAAGTGGCTGTGCAAGTTTGCACTCGCACCAGCAATGGAGGAGTGTTCCCCTTGCTCCACATCCTCTCCAGCATGAGCTGTCATCAGTGTTTTTGATCTTAGCCAATCTGATAGGAGTAAGGAGGAATCTCAGAGTCATTTTGATTTGCATTTCCCTGATGGTTAAGGATGTTGAGCAATTCCTTAAATGCCTTTCAGTCATTTGTGTCTGTTGAGAATTCTCCATTTAGATCTACACTCTATTTTTTAATTGGATTATTTGGAGTTTTGGTGACTAGCTTCTTGAGTTCTTCATATATTTTGGAGATCAGTCTTCTGTCAGATGTGGGGCTGGTGAAGATCTTTTCCCATTCTGTGGGCTGCCTTTTTGTCTTGTTGACTGTGTCCTCTGCCTTGCAGAAGCTTCTCAGTTTCAGGAGGTCCCATTTATTAATTGTCGATCTCAGTGTCTATGTTGCTGGTATTATATTTGGGAAGTGGTCTCCTGTAACCATGTGTTCAAGGCTACTTCCTACTTCCCCTTCTATCAGGTTCAGTGTGGCTTGATTTATGTTGAGGTCTTTGATCCATTTGGACTTGACTTTTGTGCATGGGGATAGCCATGGGTCTATTTGAATTCTTCTACATGTTGACTTCCAGTTATGCCAGCAACATTTGCTGAAGATGCTTTTCTTTTATCCATTGTACAGTTTCGGCTGCTTTGTCAAAAATTAGGTGTTCCAATTCACAAGCCCAGAGAGGCTAGTTAAAAAGGTGGACCCTAAGAGGAACACACACGGAGAACCCCAGGAAGGAAAAGTAGGTAAGATCTCCTGGGTAAACTGGAGGGGTAGAAGGGAGAGGGGAATGGGAACATGAGCGATTGAGAAGGCCAAGTCGTGAAGGGATGGGGGGGCAGCAATGAAGGAGATATCTTGATACAGGGATCCATGATGGGATTAGGGAGACACCTGGTGCTAGGGAAATTCCCAGGAACTCACAAGGATGACCCCAGCTAAGACTCCTAGCAATGGTGGAGAGGGTGTCTGAACTGGCCTGCCCCTGTAATCTACCCTAATTGTCATCATAGAACCTACATCCAGTAACTGATGGTAGTAGATACAGTGACCCACAGCCAAGCACTGGACTGAGCTCCCGGAGTTCATTTGAAGAGTGGGAGAAGGAATCGGATGAACAAGGCGGGGTCAGGATCATGGTGGAGAAAACCACAGAAGCAGCTGACCAGAGATGTAGGGAGATCGCAGACTATGGGCTGACAGCCGGAGAGCCTGCATGGGACCACCATAGGCCCCCTGAATGTGGGTGTCAGTTATGTGGCTTGATCTGTTGAGGGGGGTCCTGGTAGTGGGACCAGGAGCTATTCCGGACATGACTTCGAATGGTGGGATGCCTTGCTCAGCCATGATACAGGGGCTTGGTCCTGCCTCAACTTGATATTCCAGACTTCGTTGACTCCCCAAGGAAGCACTTATGCCCTCTGAGGAGTGGATGAGGGGTGGGAAGATGGGGGAGGGGTGGGTGCTAGGACTAGGGGAGGAAGGGGGAATTGGGGTTGGTGTGTAAAATGAAAAATTTTTTAAATAAAAAATGATAATAAAATATATGAGAATACCATAAAATTCCTACATTTGTATTATTCACACACACACACACATACACACATACACACATTTTAGGACCGGGCATGGTGGCACACACCTTAATCCCAGATCTCAAGAGGCCGAGACAGGCTGGTCCTTGTGACTTTGAGGCCAATCTGGTATACATAGTGAATTCCAGGTTAGCTAGGGCTACACAGCAAGATTATATCACAAAAAATTACAAAACAAACATTAAAAAATCCTTTCTAGACAGCTTTATCAAAATATAATTGGTATATAATCAAATGCATGCTTAAAGTACACACATTGATGTTTTTCACACTTGTATACAGCTTGGAAGTTGGTCTTACCACCCAATCAAGCTAATGAACAAACTTAGCACTTTTAAACCTTTCTTTGTGTTCTGTTTTAAAATCAGAAGAACCGTATTGCATGTTGTAATTCATCACTTTAAGCAAACAGCGTGTGGTCATTGTGTGCGTTCATAACACCGCAACCGTCACCACCACCTACCTTCAGGGCCACTCAGCTTTTCACACTGAACCTTCTCACTAAGCAGCAACCCCGAGAGACCCCCTACTTCCGTCCTGGCCTCCACCATTCTAATGTCTACCTTAGCGACTACACTAATGTCTACCTTAGCGACTACACTAATGTCTACCTTAGCGACTACACTAATGTCTACCTTAGCGACTACACTACTAATGGCTCATCACCCACAGAGCCAGACAGTGTTGCCTGACTCCTTTATCTTAGTATACAAGAGGCTATTGGTATTGCAGTGTCTCAGAATTTCCTTCTTTTAAAAGATGGCTTGCTTTAGTCTTTAGTTATGTGTGTGTGTATGCATGTGTACCTGTGGGTGTGCATGTGGGTGTGTGCACATGAGTGCAAGTGCCCCAGGAGACCAGAGGAGGGCGTCAGATATCCTGGCACTGGAGTTGTGAGACATCAAGACCCGGGGTCTGGGTATCAAATCAAATCTGGGTCCCTTGGAAAAACAGCAATTGTTAACCCCCAGAATACAATTTTCTTGTCTTTTTTTTTTTTTTGCAAGAGATGCTATTCTACTGTGTGAAATATTCAAGGTGACATCCTTCCAATGTTGGGCAGCAATGGTGAGCCCCAGGTCCTGGTCACTAACGTAAGTCCATGGTGTTGACAAGCTACGGTGTTGGGTGTGTCAAGTGCGTTTCTGAGGAAACATTTTCAGCTTACAATGGGTCTCTCCACATTGGAAGTAAAAAGAAAGTAAATTGAACCGATTGATTTTCAAACCCTAAACCAACCTGACCCTGTGAGCTTTCGACGGCAAATCTTTTGACACATTGTGTACTTCTGTTTTCACGAGATGCTGCTGTTTACATGCTACTTACATGTGTGCTTGTATGACTTAACCGTCCGTGTTGCTGTAATAAAATACCCTGACAAAAGCAACTTAAGAGAGGATGTATTTATTGTGGCTCACGGTTTGAAGGTCCATAGTGGCAGGAGCAGGACATGGGCGGTCACATGGCTTCCACAGACAGGAAGCAAGAGAGATGAATCGTGGTCTTGGTCCTTTGCATTCAGTCAGCCTAGGATCCCATTCTAGGGATGCTGACACATAAAGTTAAAGCGAGGCAACCTTAAGATCTTCCAACCTTGAAAGCTAGATCATCCCTCACAAGCACTAGAGACTGTGACCAGATCTAACTCATCTCCCAAGGTACCCCATAGTGTGACCTGATCTAGGTCATCTCTCACAGGCACCCCAGACTCTGACCTGTCTAGATCATCCTCACAGACACCCCACAGTGTGACCTGTGTAGGTCATCCCTCTTGCCCAGGTTGAGTCTAAGGATCTCTGAAGGTAAACAACTTCAAGCCGGGTGATGCTCTTGCTCCCATCTGATATCCTTGCTGGTCTCTGTGGTTCCTGTTCATTCCTTTGTTTTACTTTTCTCTACCAGTTATTGGGAGCATATGACACCTCTGCTGTAGTTCTGGTGTTTCTACTAATCCCTGTGGTCCTCTGGATTGTGTCGGGGGAGAGGCACATGCTGTCCCTCTGTAATGGGTGGGAAGGGAGAGTTCTGGAAACAGGGAGCACTCCTGGGAAGCAGTGGGGAGCAGCATTGTCACGGGTGTGGGAAGCTGCCCTCAGACCCCTGCTTCACACCTGTGCCTGAGCACTGCCCTCTCCCCAGTCGCCCCTAAGCTCCTGACGTCTGTTGTGGTGCTTAGCTTCCCTCATTCCTTGCATCCTGGCCATTTGTCCCAGCAAGTTGCTCCTTCAGCCCGGATATCTCCTTGACACATTAGGTGATGACTGCCTCACACTGCATTCCCATGTCAAATCCACGTGAGAAAGATTCTCTGTGTGGATCACCACAGACTCTTATTATCTGCTGCACAAATAATGTATAGTTCCCCCGAAGTCTGAGTGGCCACATAGAACCTCTCCTGGGAATCCCATACATTTTTCAGAACTGGATATGAATTTTAATGTTGACATTTAAGATATTGTCAAACGGAGCCCAGGGTCTCTGGAGACACCCTGTCCTTCTTGGGTGCAAGACATATGCAGGCTGGGTGTGAGATTTACAGTAATCCCACACAGGCCTTCTCTCTTTGGAGTCCCTCCCGGTCTGCACACATCACATGTCTCAGGGTGCTGAGGTTCTCTCAGAGGAGCTGTCACTGTCATTCCTTCGGGGCATCGTCTGTTCTGTGCAGGCAGCAGCTGCCAGGTCTCAAGATGAATGCTCCAGGTTCTGCCTTGATGGACGGCTGCCCCCAACACATTGGCCCACGATCTACAGAGATCTTCTTTAGAAGTGTGACAAATGGTGACAGACTCGGAAGGTGAACTGCACTACGGTTTGCAGGTATTCCAGCTCTGAGGAAACTTTGCCCAGCAGAAAACAAAAACAAAAACAAAACAGAGCAAAGCCTGTTCATCATGGAGGCTCCTAAGGAGGTTGCGATCATTTGCTTCCAGGGGGAAAGACCAGAAGGGGATTACCCGTCTCCATTCCCCACTTTCCTCATGCACAAACCCAGACTAGAATAGGCAAAATTCCAATTATATGTCACATGGTATGCTGGGGACAGAGCCAGGCTGTAACATGATAAAATATGCATTTTTGTCTTCCTCCTATTCCCTGGCATACCCTTCCTAAAGTCCTTGGAGTCTTCAAACTGATGATGTCACTTGAGAGCAGACAGCTCCTAGGTTTCCTAGGGATGGGGGGGCTTGTCCCTGGAAAGACCAAGGTAGGGCAATGTTCAGTTCTATTTCCCAACATTGCCGAGCACAGAGCGGCTGAAGGTTGAGTTGATTATCATCGGCCCCATGATTCTAGCAATCATGCCTAAGTCATAAAACTCCCATTAAAAACCCCAAAGGACAAGATTCTAAAGTGTCCAGGTATTCGAGCATGCAGATATCCCTGGAGGACAACGTCCCTGGACCAGCATGGAAACCCCACACTCCCCATCACGCCTTGCCCTGAGCACCTCTTCATCTGCAGCATCAGCGGCTTCCATTATTAGAATCCGATAGATGGTCCTTCTTGAGCTCAGAGTCACTTGGACAAGTTAACACTGAACCAGAGAAGGGTGTGGGAACCAGTTCCCATGCTTGATCAGAAACCCAGCTGGAATCAACCTTGGGGCCTGTCTGGGAGTTAAAGGGTGGTGCAGAGAAAAAAACAACAACAACAACAACAACAACAAATACATAACGAATGAGCCACAGACTTATGGGATCTGGCACTATCCCCAGGTAGAAAGTACCCAACAAAATGGAGTTAGAAGACACCTGGATAGTGTCCTCAGGGCACAAGTTCTTATTTCTCAGTGGTGAGACCCCAGTGCTTTTTCAGACCTTAGATGTCCTCTGCACTACTTAGACCTGTATCCAATTTTTAATTGGATTGTTTGGTGTTTTGTTGACTAGCTTCTTCAGTTCTTTGTATATTTTGGAGATCAGCCATCTGTCAGATGTGGGGTCGGTGAAGATCTTGTCCCTTTCTGTGGGCTGTGGTTTTGTCTTGTTGACTGTCTGTCCTTTGTCTTACAGGAGCTTCTCAGTTTCAGGATGTCCCATTTATTAATTGTGGATCTCAGTGTTTATGCTATTATGTTCAGGAAGTTGTCTCCTATGCTAATGTGTTCAAGGGTACTTCCCACTCTCTCTTCTAAGAGGTTCAGTGTGGCTGAATTTATGTTGATGTCTTTGATCCATTTGGATTCAAGTTTTGTGCATGATAATAGATATGGACCTATCTGCAATCTTCTACATGCCAGCATCCAGTTATGCCAGCACCATTTGTTGAAAATGTTTTCTATTTTCCATTGTATAATTTTAGCTTCTTTGTGTCAAAATACAGGTGTTCATAGGTGTATGGATTAATATCAGGGTCTTCAATTCAATTCCATTGGTCTACCCGTCTGTTTTTGTGCCAATACCAAGCTGTTTTCATTACCATAGCTCTATAGGACAGCTTGAAGTCAGGGATGGTGATGCTTCCAGAAGTTCCTTTATTGTACATGGTTGTTTTGGCTATCCTGGATTTTTTTGTTTTTCCATATAAAGTTAAGTATTGTTCTTTCAAGGTCTTTGAAGATTTTTTTTAGTTAATCTTGTATCCTGCCACTTTACTGAAGGTGTTTATTGACTGTAGGAGTTCCCTGACAGAATTTTTTCAGGTCACTTATGTAAACCATCATATCATCTGCAAATAGAATAGAGGAATATCAAATGGCCAAAAGGCACTTAAGAAAGTGCTCAACATCCTTAGCCATCAGGGAAATGCAATCAAAACAACTCTGAGATACCATCTTACTCCTGTCAGAATGACTAAAATCAAAAACACCAATGACAGTTT